AATTGCCATCATGGCTTTGTCAAGCTGCTGCCTACCTTTGTGAAGCAGGGAAAAGACTAATACAAAGTGAATCCAGCAGAACTTTTTATTGCCTACCTGGAATAGGTGACAATAGTTGAATAAACATTTGGGATGCTTTTAGTGGAAATTGAATATCAGTTATTTGTAAGTGAAGCATAATTGCACTGGTAGGATTAATAAGCTCAACAACTGATCTGAGTTTTGTACAGCGAAAGTTACACTTACAGAGGTTGCAAAATTATGCAATTATTGAAAATATCATTAGGGGGAAAAAAAACACAAATTACATTCATACACTTAGAGAGTGCCTGACTTGTTTAGGACCATTCAACTCAACTTTTACACATTTAAAATTCTTAGTGAAACAGATCATTCAGCAAATCATGCAGTACCAACAGAGAAGGAAGTTTCTTTTTCTTTTTAAATTTGTTGTGCTGCTGTTTTGAAATTCCTGTTAGTGTGGGGTTAATTAAAGGAACTGAGGGGGTCTGAATCCTGCCTTAAGTCTGGCATACATGCGCCAAACCGCAACTTTGCAAAAATTCCCAACGCTGCTACATTCTTTTTACTAGTCCTCTTGGGGCACCAGAAGACTTTAGGCTGATTTATACTCAAAAACCATGTAGTCTGCATGTGTGTCGCGGTGAACGCAAATGCACCTCCGCCCCCTCCGCAGACACTCTGCTGCACCTCTCCCAAATTGTAGGCGACCGCAGACAGTGCCACTGACAGGAGGCCTCTGATTGGTCAAATCTACATCCGCTCTACTCTATCCGTGTTTCCTCTTTGGTACCTTAGCGGCTTGTTTTGTTTGTATGACCGCCAATTGTGGAAAACGACTCGTGAAGATGGACCAGCTAGCAGAGCGAGGTGCGCCAGAACGCTGGGACCCTTTTTCCACAGGGATCCCCGCTCTTTTTGGCCCTCATGTCCCTCCGTTGTTGCATAAACGTAGCCCCATTTCCTCACCGCCTCGGCCGTATCGAGACCGACAACTAGTTCGTGATTGTCCCTCTTTGGTTGTGGCATGGAATAACACAGCACAGACCACGCTTTAATATTGGTCAGAAATCAAAGATATCTGCGACAAGCTCACTGCAACACACTGCTGCAGGACTAGGGGTGGAAAGGTTCACAAAACCCACGGTTCGGTTCGGTTCACGGTTTCGTGGTCACGGTTTTCGGTTCAGTTCGGTATACGTTGAATGTTAGGAAAATCTATTATGTCTTGTATAGTACAACACGTGTTGCACAATGCT